AAAACAAATTATATTAACACACATTTTCTTATAATGGCACGAACATTTGAAACAATATACCTTTAAATATTCGTAATGTTAATAACTTTAAATGTTTTAAAGAAAAATACAAAACATATCTTGATGTTCATATGAATGAATGAATAAATGAATGAACAATAAATGAATGAACGGATGAACGAACGAATGATGCAATATACGTATATGTTTTACTTTTTCCCTCATATAGACGTGTTTTTACGGCTTTTTGCCCCCTTTTTTGAGGCCTCAAACAGTGAAAAAATGCCCTATTTAGGCCCCAAACACTGTTTTTCATTTGAAAAATGTTGTTCAAAAAGTAACCACTTTTTCCGCGCCGACCCCATCAAAATGATATATGAGGGGATTACCAGAAGGGGGATCTGCCCCCCTTCTGTTTGGGGGGTTCGATGAGGCGGTAGTCCCCCTCATCGCCAAGAAAAAATATTGGACATGTGACAGGCTAAAACTGGCCTCAGGTCGATCTTAGGGTAACTAGTAACCGACGCTAAAAGCCCTTAACTCTATCTCAATTCACTGAAAAGTATCAGGTTTGATTGGAAAAAAGACAATGCAAAATAGTGATTTTTCGCGATTTTGAGACGTCTTCCCCCGACCCGTTGCCATGATGACAGGAAATTTACGATTGAGCATGCTGTTACAGAGGCTATGGTTCAGTCAACATTTGTGCCAAGTTCCAACAGTATTGAAACATTTTTCATAGTTCCATAGCAGTTTGAACTTGTAATAGGAGACTTTTAAATGAAAACGGCATTTTTCACAATATGCTCATGGGGTAAAAGGTTAAACAAATTGTTAAGTGTCGAAAGTACATGAGTTGTCTTATTCTAAACATTACATATTATACATTCATTTTTCTAACTATGCATGTTCTGCTGTTGTTGTTTTTGTTGTTGTTGTTTTCTATTTCAGAAGGCCACATTGGAAATAAGATATATATGATTGCTATTGTATGTGTCTTAATGTGTAACCTTCTTTAAATAAAGATATTATTATTATTATTATTATTATTATTATTATTATTATATCAGTGCAGTGATACTAATTTAATTTAAGACTTACCAGAACATCCATTAAAACTAGATACTTAATTGTGCAAAAAGGTCACAAGTTATAGACCTTTTTACAACACGATTTTCCATAGCAACGAATGTTGCATTTCGCGCATGCGCATTCTGCGTAAGGCAGAAAGCAATAACGATGTCTACAGTTTATCATACTTTAAGGCTTTAATAGATGCTGTTTCATGTTATGTCACCCAAAAAATATTAATTTTGGGATGACTTAACGCGGTAAGTACAGAAAACGTGAATTTTTTTTTAAGAGATCTACGAAAATGTGCGGGAGTAATAATTCAATGGTCAAAACGGGCATACACATATCTTTGTTTAAGGTATCATTAGACGACTTTTCCATCAGTAATTTAAATTGGAACAGCAGGGTGTTAAAGATAAAAAAATTTATTACCCCTGTATTACATAATATTACACAATTTGTATTGTACACTTCCTTTAAATAACTGGATTGGTCAGGCGGCAAGTGTCAAACAGATTGGCACCCGAACGTTTGTTCATTGAACCGGGACGTTTAAATATCATGATATAGTTAATCAGTTACGCTTATTAAAATGGTAATTTATGTAACTTTTAAATATACCGATCAATGTTTATGGATTTTGAGAAGAGAAAAATTGTGTCACGGCATAATTAAAAATAATATGTATTACAGAGAAGCGGATAAAATGTGTGTGATTTCTTTTCCAAACAACCCATTTTAACATCTCAAGATTTTGAAAAACATAATCAATTATTTAAAATCTATTTATGTGACTTAAATTTTTGCATCACAGGCAAATCGGATAAAGGATAAAATCAGGTATATTGAACACTTAAAATGCATTATCACCTGTTCTAATATTTTTTCTGAATGATAATTTATCTCCATTTCATGTTATATAATTTCTTTTATTTTTAAATGAACTATTTCAACAGCAAATAAGTTGACGTTTCATTTGCTAATAGATATATTTCCACATCTTCTTTAAAAAAATGATCTCAGTGTCAGTTCCGTGATCGTAAATTCTTAAACAAGTGTCTTTTTATGCCTTTTTATGGCATTCTTCGCCACAAAGCTATAAAGTCATCTTTTCTATATTCGTGTTAAAAGCTATTTTATAAAATTTTCTACCGTTTACCTTGAACTAACTCGGAATTGTCTATGAACTTTTACTATATTTCTATATAGGGCGAAGGATTTCTTGCCCTACGCAGATTGCGCATGCGCGAGAAAATAAATTCTAATTCCGGTCGATTTTTCATAGCAACGGACCGCGTCGTAAAAAGGTCTATACCAAAATAAATGTTAATCATATTTGCGTTTTCATTTTGATGTTATCTTCATACTTCCAAGCATAAAAAATGTTTTTTTTAAACTATTGCAATGTTTTTTTTAAAATTAGTTTTTATTGCCTGAGGCTTGAGGGAAGCATGCTCAAATGTCTGTCCATCCGTCCGAGCGTCCATATGTGCCAGTAAGGTATATCTGACGGTTTCCAAGTTGGCGTTGAGATTAATTCCAAAATACGCCCAACCCAAAGAATTAATCATTGGTTATAGGGGGGGAGGGACGCTGTTTTTGTAGTTTGAAAAAATGATGAACATCACAAACTTCAGCACATATCAACTCAGTAAGAACATGTCTGTCTGTTTTTTTTAAGTCCCGTCAAGCACTGTCATTCTTGGATGGATTTTAAAATAAATTGCACGAATGTTGTGGCACATCGGGACAATGTCACAAGCTAGTCAGAGGTTTTAAAGCTCAACGCTTCAAGTTAGACTTGAATGTGCTTGAAAAACCTCAGCCCAGTTTAGGGTTCTGTCATTCATAGTTGAATTTTAAAATAATTTAGCATAAATACTCGGCCGAAAACATATACATTTTTATATACTTATAGGTAACGCAGGAATGTGCAAATAACTTAAAAGTAACGCCGAAACTGTGCTATGCTATTGCCAAAACGAATAATACAGTATGCAAACGAACCAAAATATTTATTGATATTCTAAATCAAATTTAGAGAAATGCATTAGCGCATACGGCTGCTAAAACGTTATACTTTAACCAGCTTTACAATTTTTTAAGAAATATGTTTACTTCATTGGATCATTCGTGAGATAGACAACCAGATTACCGTTTTGAAGGTGACTTTTGTGTTTCGTCAAATAAATATGTACATTTAACGCATTTAAATCATTGTGTTTGTTTTCATATTCTGTTTACCTAAGACAATTGACATTTGACCTACAACAATAGAAGGAAGCTGGTAAAATAAGATTTAGCTATTTTTAATGAGATAACCGCCGTTGTTTCAGTGCTGCATTCACTAATTCGACGTTACCTCGTAAAAATGGTCTCAAATACGTTTTATCTGCTAAATTAAGTGTAATATGACACGAGTAGATTTGAAAACGTTTCTGGTACACAGAATATAAAACTTCATAAAGTAAGATGTACGTTATTGTATTCAAAGATATAAACGGAACTAAAGATCGCCATCAATACGCTAGTCAGGTCGTCATTTTCACGAAATTCAATGATTTTGAAAAATAAACATTTTCATGGGTTTATTTTTGATGAGGTTCACAGTAAATTGTCTTAGTAACCGTATGCGCCAATTGATTTCTTCCAATTTGATGTACAATAAAAATATTGGTACGTTACTTATCTCGGTGCTCGTTTTAGCCACTATTTTGCACAATTCTGTGTTACTTTTGCACAATTCCTGCGTAATTCGCACATCCCTGCTTTATTGGATATACACGGTGTTCCTGGAACGACAATAATTTTGTGATAATGTGTAATATGAAAAGGAAATGGCATTATATATATTTTACTCTGTATTATTCATTTACCTTAAGACATTACAAGTCCGTAGGCTGTTTATGGTTCAACAATAAAAACAGTTGTTTACGAGTCATTTTTTCCAAAGTGAAACATTATAAAGCTTAAAAGGTCATTTACATTTATTCAAGTTTACTTATATTTCAATTACGATAGACGATCTGATTTTAAACCATTCAGGTGCATAAATCTAGGCATGTTTAGAGTTATTCTCTGAAATAAATACGACATTTTATAAACATATTACAAATAAAAGGTAACCAAAAACCGAAATTAGGTTTTACTGTTGGCACAGGTTGACAGAAAATGTGTATAAACACATTTGCGGATGGTAATAGTATGATGCATATTTTTCATAACTGTTACAGTAATACCTCTACAAATTCTTTAAGATAGCAAGAAGTATACACAAAGTACATGCATATTATACAAAAAGTAAGAAAATGCATCATAAACCTCACAGATACAAATAATATTGAGCAAAATCAAAGTAAACAATAGTTTTAAAGTTGACATATTTTGTATAATGAAAAGCTATACTTACACACATGTATACAGGTACAACTGTTTGAATAATGCATATTATGTTAAAATATGAAAACAAAGATCATCAAAGTAGGCCGGAATTTAATGAATTCATCCCCGAAAAAAGGCAAGTAGCTCTACAGGAAACTAAAATATTGGAGAGTGCATAAAGACAAAGCCAAAAACCACTTTACGTGTTCTATTTTGGCCGCGTTGATGCGAATCCAATGCTACGATGATCATATCGCGATAAATGATATTATGCTAAAATCTATGTCAGTCGCCATAACAAATAATGTAGTAAACATAAATAAACATACCTGCGGGACCAAGTCTTGTGAAGCCGACATATTCTCCAAACTTTATCTGTACTATGATATCGTAATTGCGCTATTGCGTTTATATAGAGAAAATATGATAAACAAGATCAACAAGAAAAGGCGGAGTTCAATGAACGCAAACCCCTCCTTCTTCCTGATGTAAAGTTTAAGGTTTGGTTTTATCAATGTTTCCTTGTTGTATCGTTTCCACTGATGACGATAATAGTTTCGGTTGCATTCAGGATCGTTTTTCAAAAAAAAAGAAAATCACTTAGAGGAACTGCAAAATTGGATAAATATGGCACTGGTATGATACTTAGATCTTTTGAATAGTTTATTATTATTATATCTTATATATCCGATAAAAAAAGATGATAAACGTCGATTTATATAAAACATTTTACAACAGATGAGTATTTTCAACAAATTAAGAATTTTCAAACAAATTGCTAAAAAAATTGATACAAAGTAATATAAAAATATTTATGAAAAATACCATACAAAAACACTTCATGTTTAGTTTGAAATTTGCTAAATTTATTTTTTGCTCGGCTTTATAGAAATGGAAACAATTAGAATAAAAGCTAGGCGTCTTACGTTAAAGGCCCAGGATGTCAAAAAAATCGTTTTATTTTTATTCCTGTAAAGCTTTTCGGTTTTCATGTCATTTTAGTTACTCATCACCTGAATCATAGTTTGCGTCTCTTTTTTCTCTGGGAATATGTTCAGTTATATTGATTTAGTATATTTTGCATAGAAGTCAAAATACTTCTTTTTTTACATTTTTTTATAAATATTTTCTTATTCATCGTTACTTTCTTTAGGTCATACATGTAAGCATCTAACAAACCGTTAAACCATTATTTGAATATTAAAAATGTTATGTTTGCTTTTTAAAATAAGAAAGAAATACATTTGTTTTAGAGACGTAAGGTGCCTTTAATACGACAACGAAAAGTCACGGCTTATTATTAAATCATATAAGTAACAGGATAGTAGCAAAACTGTATAACATCAATTATATTCCAGTAAGTTTCACATTGACACATATGTACAAATATTTCTTGTAAAATTAAATTTCGGTCACGTAATACAAATATTAAAGCTTGGATAAGTCATGAATAGGTAATTATATTGGTATTATATAAAATATTTGTGAAAATGAAATTAGACTTTAAATACATACAAATAAAGTGACACCATAATGTAAAAAATGTGTAGAACGTTCACTGGTTTATGGTGGCTGATTGGCGCCATTCGTGTTTTCGCCCCGCGACCCCGCCAAGCGAAAAGTCGGGGGCGCGGAGCGAGATTTAAGAAATAAGACGGCGAAGTCGCGAGACGAAAACACGCTAATTAGCGGGGTCGCGGGGCGAAGTTTGATAAATAAAACTTAGCTGCGCGCTCCCGCTAATTAACGTGTTTTCGTCCCGCGACCCCGCAAAGCGAGAAGTTGATAATTATCATGTTAAAATAGCAGGGGCGCACAACAAAAACACACTAATTATGGAGAGCGCGGGTCGAAGTTTTATAAATAAAACTTCATACCCGGGGGATTGCGGAGCGAGATTTATGAAATAAAACGGCGGGGTCGCGGGACGAAAACACGATAATTTGCGGGGGCGTTCGGCAAAGTTAAATAGATTAAAATTCGCCGCGCTCCCTCGTAAATTAGTGTGTTTTCAGCCAGCCAAGCAAACAGTCGATAATTAACAAGTTAAAATGGCGAGGGCGCGGAGCTAAAGCACGCTAATTATATGGAGCGCTTATCAGCGTGTTCTTAAATCTCGTTCTGCGCCCTGCGGGGTGAAGTTTTATTAATTTAACTTCGCCCCGCGCCCTCGCTTATTAGCGTGTTTTCGCTCCGCGACCCTGCCATTTTAACTTGTTAATTCTCGACTTTTCGCTTGGCGGGATCGCGAGGCGAAAACACGAATGGCACAAATCAGCCACCATACTGGTGTGACAAAGTTTCTTAAATGATCGAATACCGGGATAGATAATTAACATTCGTATAACAGAACAGAACAGAACAGAACAAATAGTTTATTCAGATTTGTACACAGTACATCATCTTGTATATACATATCAATAATTATATATGTCAACGTGAGATACAATAAGAACATAATTATTTTTGACAGTAATGGTAGTAATTTGAATACATATAAATCAAAACAATTAATCATGTATAAGGAGAAAGAACATGTATTAGAGTTATCTTTCTACAGTTAATACTGAATTTCTTAAGCAAGAGCGTTTTGATGAACAGTGATAATTGTGTGAGCTCGGTTTTATCACAAGAATTCAAAAGATAAATTTATAAACAGATGGTCTTTTTTGACGTAAATATCCTTTTATGTATTTTTTCTTAATTCTGAATAAAAGCTGCATATACATATAAAATGATATTCATCTTCTATATCTAAATTGTTACAACATAAACAATATCGTTCATTTACGGGGAATAGGGTTTCTATAAATCTTCCTGTTTGAATTCTTAAGAGGAAGACCACTCATGCGTAATTTACAAAAAAAAAATCTAAATCCTTTTGGTAAATATCTAAATATTTCTCATATTCAAATGTACTCTTAACATTTTTATAAAAATATAAAAAGGGAACTATTTTCTAAGTTAGCAAAACCATTCTTGTTTAACAAATCCAAAATGCGATTTTTAAACTCTTGTCAAAAATATGTTCTTATCTATGTAATTTATTTGATCAAAAACATATGAAAATCCATAAGCATTCAATTTTTTTTTTCACATTTGTGACCCAGTTTACACATCCACTCTTGCTGTCATTTAATGCTAATATTATACAGTGTTTTTTAATAAGATATTATCAGTCTCAACAATTTTCATCCAGTATTTTATTATTCTTATATATCTATTTACATACAATGGGTACCTTCCCAATTCGCCATAAACATATGCATTACATGTATTCTGTCTCACTTTTAATAATCTTTTGCAAAATTTTAAATGAATTCTTTCAATTGGCTTCGACTTAGAATATCCCCAGACTTCACATGAATAGTTCAAAATAGAAACAACAAAAGCATCAAATAACTGACAAAATAACTTTGGACTTAGATCATATTCATTACATTTACATAATAACACATTCATAGCTTTAACGCCTTACCTATCAAAATTTCCTGATTCAATAAAAAGCTACCAGTGTAGTTAAAAAACTGTTTCCCAAGTAATTAAAGTCATTTACCACTTCAATTTTTTACCTCATAATACCAATTCTCTTTTGGTAAGAGCCCCACCCCTTTTACAGAAGACCATTATTTTTGTTTTTGTTGTATTTACTTTAAGACCCCCAGTTTATCACAATAAATTTTTAAAGTGTCTAAAAGTTCTTGAGTTTCCTCAGGTGTCTGACCTATGATGGCCATGTCGTCAGCAAAACAACAAAGAATTAAAACTATATCCTCCAGTAATAGACCAGAGTCGACACTGTTTTGTAAAAACAATTCTAAATCTTCCATAAAAAAGAGAAAATAGCAGAGGAGACATTACCTCCCCTTGACGTAAGCCTACAGCATAATTAAAATAATCAGAATAATTAGAAAATGACTTAACACATGATTTTACTTTTTTATGCATATCCCTTACAATTCTAAGTATTTTACCTTGTATACCACAATTGTACAATTTTAACCATAATCCATTTCTATAAATTGAATCGAAACATTTCATCATATCAACAAAAATAACATACAATCTTTTATTATTATATAAATAGTTTTGAACTAATGACGTAGGAATAAATATTGCGTCAACAGTAGATCTACCTTTACGGAAACCGAATTGAGCATCTGAAATAGTATTGTTATCATTACAAAAGCGCTCAATTTCTTTTATTAATAACAGTAGTAAAAAGTTTAGATAAACAGCTAACAAGCGTTATACCCTATAATTATTCACTTCATTTTTATTTCCCTTCTTATGTAAAGGTAAAATTACACCTTCGGTCCATTTGTCCGGAAAAAATCCTGAATCCAGTATACAATTAAATAAATCACATAAATGCGATGACAAAATATCAGCACTTTCTATAAAATACTCATTTAATAGGCAATCATTACCACACGCTTTGTTACGCTTCAATGATTTCACTGCAGACGATATTTCACTCACAGTTATAGGCAAGTCCAATTCTGGAAATGCATCATTATTAGAATCAAAATTATTATTATCACAAAACAATTCAGCGTCATCATTGTAACAATAAAACATTTCATTGCAAATATTTGAAAAGTATTCTTTAAATTCATCAAGAGGAATTTTATTCTCAACATGGTTTTTCTTTTTAAAGTATTTCCAAAAATCCCTAGGCTTACTACTTTTTAAAGTTTGTATTTCAAGCATTTTAGTTTTGTAATACGCATTTTTTTTCTTACGTATAATATTTTTATACAAAGATTTTTGTTCACACAATTGTATTCTGTTAAAATCTGTTTGATTACAATTAAATAGCCTCAATTTTTCCAAATAAGCAGCACGAGCTACCATGCAGTCCCTATCAAACCAGTCTGCTTGTTTCATATATGATTGTGATTCAAAACAATAATTTTGTTTAATATGACATTTTTTTGCAAATAATGGATCAGCTACATTACGTAATACATCTGTAAATTTATTAAGAGCATCGTTAACAGATGATCTATTATTATGATCTAAATTATTCACAATATTATTTAACAATGGTAAATTGGCTATAATACCAGATCGAAATTGCTGCTTATGTATTTCGTTCCATTTGTACTTAATCTCTGTATAGCTTAAATTATTATCTGGTACGTTTTTACATAATAACGATACATGTAAAGGTGCATGGTCACTCCATTCATTGAACGAGTCGACCGAAAAATCAGTGATCCGTGAAAAGTTACGTTCATGACATAATAAGTAATCTATGACAGATGTACCGTTTTGTGACATAAAAGTATAATTATTAGAATTTCCGATACGGCCGTTAACAATACGTAAGCAACATGATTTACACATATCTAGTAATCTTGTACCATGACTATTATGGTTTTTGTCGATTGTGGCCCTAACAGGGGTGTTGTCGAGATCATAATCTATGTCATCTGTAAATAAGTTAACTTTATCATAAACAATACAATCATTTTTGCTCCCCACTCTGCTATTAAAGTCACCTAAAAGATACACAACTCCTAGATTTTCATAAATAAAAACATCATTTCTAACGTTTCGAATAAATCAACATTAAGAACATTGTATACAGGCGAATCTTCACACCAAATATAGACTCCACATAAATAGATATCTTCTTCATTGTTAAATAATGTGCGGTCTAATTTTAACCAAATAATAGTATCGTGATAATTTTTTTACAATTTGAATACCAGGGGATAAATGTTCTTTGTAATACAAAACTAAACAACCGCTACATCTTCGAGCATTCCTGTTTTGAAATTTTCTATAGTAATGATGCGAAACATAACCGTTAAGAATAATATTGCTGAAGGAATTGGTCCATGTTTCATACAGAAAACAAATGTCACTATAAGTAATAATATCTAAAAAGTTTGAACAAGACTTTTTATCATTCGTGAGCCCGTGCACATTCCATGAAATAATAGAAAGTTCCTCTCCTTCATACCCCTAGTCCCTAATTGGACGTCCATCAATGTACAAAGTATCGTACGCAATCCAAGCTTTTTTACCCTGGTCTCTGGCCTCCTTCATCTTCGGCACTAACTTCCGGCGTTTGGCGATGATTTCTTGTGGAAATTGTTCATACATACTGAATCTCGTACCGTTAAGATTTTTCCACTGCCGACGAACAAACTCACGATCCTTGAAAAAAGTGAACTTGGCAACAATAGTTCGAACATTACCTTGAATTTGATGCCCTGGAGATCTGTGTACTCTTTCAAATCGAATACTGTCTGCCATGTCTTTTGCTATTTTCAGAGAAGTGTGTAAATGGTGTGTAAGTTTTTGCTCTGTCTCTTCCGGCGTCTCGTTTTCTTTACTAAAATCTTCTGGGACATTAGTGAAAATCAGATTATTTCGCATAGACTGCGATTTTAGATACGCTACCTCTTCCTGTATATTGTCTCGAGCTTGTGATAAGTCGTCCACTTTGCTGGCTAGAAAAGCTGACCCTATATCAGCGTTTCCACTTTGTCCTCTAGACTCATAACTCTGTCCTCAGTTTTCTTTGCCCTTTCCTCCATTGCAAGCCATATACTTTTTAATTCCTTCTCAAACTCCCCTACCCGCTTCTCTAATTAATCGAGTTTTTTCTCGACACAACCAAGCCTTGAACTTATATTCTGAAGGCAATTCATTAAATCCTTATTTGTTGGCTCACTGTTTGCTGCCATATTTTTGAACACAATATTCTCAGGTTCTGAATTTATCTCAAAAACATTATTGCTATCAACATTGTATAAAACTGCATTGGTCTGATTTAACAAGTCACTAACTGAAACATTATTATCTGAATCACTTTGTTTAAACAGTTTTCTATTTCCATCAGTTAAATTGTCATTATCACTGCTATTCCTCTCTTTCCTTTTTTTATTTCTTGATCCACCCATACTAAATAATACTTGAAATGTTTCACTATAAATCCGTACTAAAGACTAATATTTTTATTACATATATATCCTTTAAAATCACAAAAAAATGAATTTCTCTTTGTTAGAATTTGAATTGTACGTCCATTTTTACTGAACGATCACGTGACCTTTTATAACAACCAAATGTTATCTTAAATTTAGGTTCACATCAAGTCAAACATATTTTAGATTGCGTTCGGCCAAAACAGTGATCCAAAAATAATTTATGTAGAAATCGAAAGTACAAAATGTCTACATTTTGGCACAAGTTCGGATTCGTTTATATTTGTACATTAGTGAGCATTTTTAAATTATAATTGTCAGACATTTTTCATAATACAGTAATAGGCTTTATTTTCCTGAATGACATTACATTCGGTATAGATTATCAAAGATTACACTCTCTGTTTTGGTTTACAATTTAAACCGAGGTTATCGTGTTTTTCCGATTGTTAAAATCAGGTATGTATACAATCCTGTTAAAATTGAGCACCGGTTAATTTATGTGAAAAAGAAAAGAAGTCAGTCGAAGGATAAGTTTCAAAATCCTGGAGATGCCTAAAAATTCAGTATCATCGTTTAATACTTCAAATTGTTGTAATGTTGGTGATGGTGATTGTGCTGGTAATGGTGGTGGTTTTGATGATGTTGTTGAAAATGATGGTTAAGATAAGGACGTAGAATATTACTGTAATTTTTTTTATACTTTATCGAAATAACTTATCACAATCGTATGTGTTTTAATCAGGGGGCGTGGACGTTAACTTGCACTTTCTATTACCGTTCTAGAGCTGACATTTTTGTCGTTGTGGCCTTCTTCGTGAATTCTTTATTTCTCTCTATTTGTTCATGCGGCGAGAGTATGCCTATTTGATACATATACTGGTTTAAATAAGTGCATTTCACCCCATATAGAATACACATCTCAATGACAGCTCAAATATTAAGTACTTACAATTTAGAACATGTGAATACATATTTTGTTCGTGCTTATATGTTTAAAACATATGATATGTACAATGCATATGTAAATGAACAATTATAGCTCTTTGTTTATAATTAACTCCATTTTCACTCAGGTAATGAGTATTTATACAGTATACTTCAATACAACTACACTCGAAAACTATTTATTTCCAGAAAATCAGATCTTTACCGGATAAGCTACAGGAACTTTCAAGAAATATAAATGATCCATCCACAAACACTGAAATCAATAAACTTCACCAGAAAGCAGAGGGTGTTTGTAATTGCGTAACCAAGGCGTTTACAGTTACCGGAAGTGATGTATTAAAAGAAAAGGAGAAGCTTTCACGAGTGTCTTGTCCCAGCAGAGTTGATATTGAAAGATTGTCACAAACGTTAGTTGCATTTAAAGGTGATCTTCGTACTTGCACAAACGAAATCGTTTCTATAAAGTCGAGCATCCATAATTTTGTTGGTGTCAATCGTTGTACGATGAAATTAAAAGAAAATGAAATCAAGGCAGCTAAGACCGAAGTAGATGGATTAGATAAGCAGATTCAACTTACACAAAAGGAAATATCAAAATACGAGGATGAAGCTTACAATGAGGAACGCGGTGCTGTTGACCTCGAAGACCGAGCTAGTGATCTTCGACGTAAATCAGAGGAACATAAAGAAAAGGGATGGCTATGGGGCGTTGGATCACTGTTAGTAGGAATAGTGTTTGCACCATTTACATGTAGGTGTACTTGTAAAGTTTTTTTATTTATAACAGCAAAAAGCAAACATCTCATATAGCTAGGTATGACAATTTACCATGTACATTTGTAGATTGCATCATGCTTTTCAAACCAGTAACATTTTCTTGTTCTGATGGAGTTTGCAATGTTACAAATAAATGATAAAACAGAAAACCAAACAGAATTAAACAACAACATAGAAAAAATCCATCGACGAAATATCAAATGAAACAAAAGACCGAAATTTTTTTAGTTAAAATGTTGTATGTGTGATGCACTTAAATTATAATGACTTTCTAGTCAGTCCCAAACAACTTATGAATCAAAGCCAATGTTAAATTACTCACTGATTGGTCAATATAATGTTAGGTGAACCTCATTTATACAGGCATGAAGTCTAATAACTACAGCTAAAATATGTTTCAAAATTGACTTTCAGTGGGTGCTTCACTCGGAGCAGGGTTGGTATCGGCAGGCGTTGGCATTGCCGGGAACTTTAATGACGCTAAAGATTGTGTGTGTAAAGCTGCAAGTCTTAGAGTTAGTGCACAGGATAAGAAGGAACTGGCTAAAAGAAAGGGGACATTAAAGGCAGAGTATGAATCAAAAAAGTGTACGAAAACTACCGAGCTTAGAAATTGCAAAACAAAAATCGGTATGTGTTTTTTACTTATCTCATGCAACACAAATTTAGTGTTTTTGTTTTGTTTTTGAATTTAATGGCACATGTGTCTTAAGTTTATTTATAAGCACCATTACAGCTGAATTTTGTGGATTTTTAAATTTTTTGTTTGTTTTTGTTTGGTAAATGTTTCATTTATTTTAGACGATCTGGCAAGGACGTGTGATCGGCTAACCAGCCTTGAAGGACTTCTGACAGAGTCAATATCAGGCTTCGAACGTGTCATTTATATTGCACAGGTAAACAAAATGCAGAGAAATGATTTGATTATTGATGATAAATTAAGAGATAAAACATCTTTGTATTTTAATAATCAGCAGCATGGTGCAACACATGTGATGGTAAACATTATTTGTTGTTTTACGAAAGGCTGGTAAAGTGGTAAAGCTTAACATTATCTCATAATTGCTTATACATGTGTGTTTGATAAATATTTGATAATGAAGTACTTAGAAACTATCATTATTTTATCCCAATATATGATGTTATATTTGGATGTCAGTAACATATTCAAGTTATTAGCCAATGTAAGTATAAATATGACTTTTTTAAGGATTTCGAAAACGAGGTTCATCGAACATTATTACAAGGCGATGCCTTTCAACTCATAAAAGAGGTATTCCAGGAATGTCCAGAGGAACTACACGACGAAGCACATGATCAAATGCGCAAATTGAAGGTTAGCTTAATCTCAATAATTGTATTGGTTTTTTCTACTTTTTTGTACAAAATATGTCTATCTAGATGAATGCTTATAATTTCAGAAATATTTGAATGTCATATTAAATATCAAGTAATACAGTCATTGTAAATTAAAGATATGCGATGCCCATCTCTTAGTTAAAAACTTGTATTGCAAAAAATGTATCGGAATCTAGGGTATTGCTACTGAATATGTATAATCTAAATAAGAGAATGTACAAACGACGTTTGGAAACTGTATCCCCTATAACTAGTCAAGTTAATTAAATATTTTCTTTTAAAAACTGCACACTACTCGTATGCAATTATACTGTGTTTACCTATTGGGTACAGTTTAAAACGTAACATATTTTCCCTCTGTGCGTACTAAAAATGTTTATTTTACATAAAAACGACTGTGAAGAAATTTTAGAGATATATATTTTGTATTGCTCTCCTTCTAACATAATTTATACAATCAGTTTTAATTACTGTTTGTAGTGACAATTAAAATTGCTAGGTAAATGGTAGCGGAACCATAATAAAATGACTGTATCGTTTAAAATTAAGAAAATTTGGACGTTTACCAACAAAACAAACAAACATTTTCTGTTATAGTCCGAGCACGATAAACATAACTTTCGTCATGTCTAAAAATAGAAGCACAGTCCATGAAAAGATAAAAATAGGTAAACTACAGGTGATTAACCAAATTATTTCCATTAAAGATATAGAGATAGTATTTGAAGACAATTTAACTTCGACTGACTCTATAGCGTAGTAAGTTGAGCCACTTCTGCAAATGAAAGTACATGTGGGTTCGAAACTTCGTTGAACTTTTTTCTTTTTTTTATTCCAGATTCACTGTAAAACACATAAATATCAGTTTGACAACGTACACATATGATAACACAAAAACAAAATGACGCAGCTTAATACGTGTCAAAGCACAGAACGCGAATATCCCGTGCATAAAATATTTCATTTATACATGTATATAACTGAACAAAAGTTTCGTTATTGTCTCTGCTTCAATAACAATTAGAGACAACATGTTGAACAATTTTGAGCCTCGACAAATTGAGAGAATGATAAGGTATTTATTGTAACTATTGCATATCTTGAAATACATTTCCATAAGAAAGATTAGAAAATGAAGATACTTTGCTTGAAAGTAAAATAATCATAAAAAAAACGAAAACAAAAATATATAAATCAAATTTAAATAATCACATAAAAAAACATAAACTTCGATAAATTTGTACCTATAAGAGCTTGTCAGTCTTGTGTCATAAAACAAATTTATAATTGAAATGCTCTACCGATTGAGCTATAACGGCAACCACTACTACTTATAACTATTATCAATATATTGGTTAATCAGTCTTGAATTGCAACCTTTCATTTACCTTTTTAGCTTCAAAATAGACTGCTCCATACTATTAATCAACATGACGAAAGTTCTGTTTATCGTGCTTGGGTGTAATAAGAGCAACAGATTGACTAATTTATTGTGACGGGTAGTACACCGTGAAGCTATAACGGTAACAGTTTGTATACCTACGGATTAGTTGGGAAAAACCCACATTTGCCGAGTACCAGATAACATATATTATTTTTAATCCTTTTTATTTGTGCATACTTTCTTCAATTTCAGTTTAAGTGGATTGAGTTAGAACAAATGTTTCTCTTCAGCAGCGATCGCCATGGCATAACGTTTTAAAACACATCTTGTTACGAAGAGACATTTAAGTTTTCTGCATTCTAATGTAACTAATGTTTATGACACTGTAAAAAGTATAAGAATGATTAGTCCAGATTCAAATTACCTACCAGCTTTAAAAAATATGTTGTGTAAGAAACGATGTAAATATGTGTAAATATTGATAAACTGTGTTTTGCAGCCTTTTAATGCTCTTGTATAATGTATTATCAAACTTTTGCATCAGTATTTCACTCTTACAATTTCTTAAATAATGTTATTGCCCTTATGAAACGGTGTATCATGCTTAAATACAATTTTAGGTTTTACTTGTACATGCTAAGCATAAGACGTAAAGAGCAATTTAAATAACAAATATGCAATGGTCAAAAATCGAAACCTTTAGGAACGTCCGAAACAGAATATTAGAAATATTATATTGACAGAGTGTATTCATTGAAAGTTGAAGTACATACAAGTTACCGTCCACGGCCCCCTTGCACCGCCTGAAGTAGAATGCACATCAAACATGAAAATGATCAAAATTTGGATTGATGTTTTCATACAACTGTTGTCATGGAACAGTTTTAAAACAGCGGAAAGTATTATAATGAGTATTGAATAAAATTGTGTTGTACGTGAGCCTTAGTAACAAAGTCTTTCATGAGTATTGAATACATGAGCCTTAGTAACAAAGTCTTTCATTGGTTTTTGCAAGTTGATATGTTGAATTCTTTTTAAAGTATTTTGACAAATGTTTACTTTATTTTTTTTGAAGTTGTCAAAACCTCCAAAAACGCATGTTTCTGATTGTATTGAGGAAACAGAAGCAATAAAAACAAATTAAAGTATAAATTTTGTTTTCCTCATAAATTTTTTATACCTTTGACTCATGTTTATGTTTGTATTATAAGAATCATTTATATCTGCGTTTTATGCAAACATGTATAATCTGTGTAAGCTTGTTATGTATTTATGATACCACTCACGTTTCAGATATTTAGCCATAAATACAATACAGACTGGAAATTCAGTATGAACATTAAATCTGAAGATGCCATAAGTATTGCATATAAATAATTGTATAAGATATTTACTGTATACTTTTAACAGTCAATTTGTTTAGTATAATTGCTAATTGTTGTTATATTATTTGATATTTTTCTTGCATTTAGATATTCATTGACGCATATTATAAACAGCATAGTTTTCATTTCTACTTTGTTTGAAATGATTCCTTGTGTTTACTTTTATTTGTTTAAAACTGTAAATATATGTTATTATATTATGTTTGAAAATTAAATAAGCCAATTTTTTTTTATATTAAGGATAAGAGTTATAAAAATAACTTTTTATTTGAGATCATTATTCTAATATTTCAATTAACCATAGAAGATAAATGAAGTAATCAATTATTAGTAGAAGAATCTGAAACCAACCTGCTTGCGACCTCATCTAAAGTCGGCAGTTACATAATAAAGTTTTATAAAGTGTTAATGAGGTGCGCCAAAACCAATATAGTGCGTTTGCGACCATCATTGATCCAGACCAACCTGCGCTCAGGATCCATGCTGTCTCTACTTGTAATAGAGTGTGTAAGCGAACAGCATGAATCCGGATCAGACTGCGCGAATGCGGAGGCAAGTCGGGATCCACGCTGGTCGCAAATGTACTATATTGGTTTTGTCATGGCGCGGCTCATTTCATTTTCCTAAATGAGTGTCAAACTTACCTCCTATTCAATTATTACACAAGGAGCACTGTGTAAAAACTCGAGATGCATTTATTCAACAATTACCGATTAAAGATCAGTTACTCACTCTCTCGTATTATTTGTGTTGTTACAGTTATTACCCTTGAACAAAACAAAATATAATTAAACTTTATAATGTAAAATATCAAAATTATGTGGCAAAAATACAATTCTCAAAAAAATTGCTATTAAGATGCAATATCTTATGTATTTGCTAAGACAAAGTAATGTTATAACTTATACAAAAATGTGTGCTTTGGAATAAAAAAATTAAAAAATAATTACTGTGAAAAAGCAATTATAAAATCATTTCCAATGAAATAGCAGATTTGTCTATTTTATAGAAGTTAAATACGAGGGTGGATCAATATGTTATGCAATATGGCCAATAAACTTAACAAAAGAGCAAATATTATACAACTTTCTATTTTAACAATTCGGAATAATCTCCTCCTAAATAAATACAATATTCAGAAGCTTAATATCCATTTTTTCCACATGAACCTCCTTTAGATATACCTTTAAATAAGTGAAAAATGGTCGAGACAGGTTCATTTCTGCACATGTAGCGATGGCCTGCAAATTGTTCTTTAGTCTAGGAAAAGGGAAAACATCACAGTGTGCCAAGTCTGGAGATTACGATGGGTGTTAAAGGACACTCGTTTGCTGGAGAAATAATCACTTACAGTAGCTCTTTTGTGTGCAGGAGCGTTTTCATACAGAAAAACAGGCCTCTTACACTAGTCAAAGGACGAACATTATTTCAAATTTTTCCTCAATATTTCTTAACACAACATCTCTATAATACGTGATTGTGACAGAACGGCTTCTGGAAACATTACATATTTTCTGAACAATTGTCAACCGCTTGGCAATGCATGGCAAACGAACATTTTAGTTGACCCAAATCTTATTTTTAAAAGTTTACTAAAAAAATTTCACTCGGTTATACTTTATCAGACGTTATTCTGTGTTGGTCTACTACTTATGGTGACTTTGTCTTATTAACAAAAGGGACTTGTTAGACAGAGGAATTAATATCTTTCTTGTGCTTCTGTACTTGCTGCGCTTCAGGACCTTCAGTACTCATGGACTTGCTGCGCTTTTGGACTTGCTGCACTTTTTGACTTGCTGTGCTTCTAGACTTGCTGCGCTTCTAGACTTGCTGCTTTTTTGGACTACCTGTGCTCCTGGACTTGCGTTGCTCATGGAATGCTGCACTTTTGGACTTGCTGCGCTTC